TTTTTGTCTGGCACGAAGAAATTGCAGGTTTGTTTTGGTTAGTCTTTGAACCAGTGTTGAAATGGCCAGCTTGCCAGCCAGAGATGAGCTTGTATCCACTCGGGGTGCTTGCAGACTTAAAAACAAAAACAAACAAACAAACAAAAAACCTCCAGTGCTTTACTTTGAACTCTGCACATTTCTGTGCCAAGTCCTGCACATGCCCAGAAGAGGCAACGCGTTTCTTCAACCCAGCTCACCCAACATCTGTAGAGATCGGTTGCTTTAGCGGGCTTTTTTTGGCAGTTTTATCTAACAACTGATTGAATCTGCTTTAGATAAAAGTGCCAAAAAGCCCCACTGAAGCACCCTGTCTTTACTTCAGCCCAGTTCCGCAGCATCTGTAATGTGCCGCTGCTGCTTCCAGTAAAGCGCGCTTGGTTGGGCGGGGGGGGTGTTTGTTTTTTGTTTGTTTTTTCTTTAGTATCTGTAAGCAGTCTATGTCATTACAGTTGGATATCTAAACTTGAACCAGGGCCTAATTCACCCATGCAGTACAAGATTCCTCTCTGATCTTCCTATATTTCCAGCAGCGAAAGGACATGTCAAATAGGAGCCAGACTATTAGCAAAGAAACTAAATTTTGCAAAATATTTTTTCCATTTGCATCTGTCTGTCTGTAGACATCATATAGGATGTCTGTAGTACTAATGTGGGGTTGACCAGAGAGAACCAAACGATGTTGTTATGCTGGGATGCACTGTACAGACTTTATATGTGGTGCTACAAAACTTAATGCTTCAGAGAACTTCCCTTTTCATCCAGTAACATTTTTGTGGTGCTCCCAACATTACATTTTTTTTAGCAGTACAGAGATCATACATATCTGTCCACTCAACTTCTGTGGCACTGAGGATGTATGTATCGCTACAGATTTAGCACCTGTCTTGAGGTCCTTAATTAACCTAAGCCCTAAGGCATGTGAGCTTTCCCTCCCTTGTATTTTTACCTTGCTGCAGCCATGCACTAAATGTAGGACACCATCATAGTTAAATTTCTTCTTAAGCTCAAGTGGACTTGGGTAATATCAATTAATAAAAGAAGAACAGTTAAGCAATTATTGCCATCAACCTTCATGACTGATTGCATGGCTGCTTCCTTTCAAGAATTCCTCTAGCAGCAGCCTGTTAAGTTGCTGAGGTTAGTCTCTGGGGATGGGTGAGTGCAGGTGTGTTTTAATGACTGGCAAAGTTGAAAGTAACTCTGTACTGGATGATGTCAAGGAACAGGGAACAGAGTTTTTTTTTTTTTTTTTTTTTTTTTTTTTTTTTTTTTTTTTTTTACCTTAGTTCTGGCTGGACATCTTGGCTAAGTACATTTAAAAAAGCCTGAGGTTGAATCTATTCAGTCTTTGCAGCTTAGTCTAAACTGTGTAGATAGAACCGAGAAGCAAATGAACAGACGTTTACTCACTTTTTGATTCTGGAAATGCAGTAACATGCCTGTAGTAGCTCACGCCAGAAGCTGGGGGGTGCTACAGCATACCTCCCAGCCTGCTGGTCATTGCTGAATGTGAGGGAGAGAAGGAAGCTGGCACACTTTTCTCTCTCTCTCTCTCTCTCTCGAACAATATATATATATATATATATGACAATATTCCTTGTCATCTCATTTCACCTGTCCGGTTTCTTGGCACACCTGTTTTGCCACAACTTTACAGCAAATTTTCTTCAACTCAAGAAGCTTCTTAAACATTAGCACTGAAGTTTTTCATGTGCATATACACAGGTGCAATTTACGCGAACTGCAGTAAAACGCAATTTATTCCTTGTGTATGGCACTTCTGCATTGTCCTCTTTTAAAAGCATAATGTCACTGATTTTTGTTTGTTTTTTTCCAATTTGGCAAGGCTTTTAAAATCAAGTTATTTGTTGACTTTTTTAATTACTCTTTCTGCTGACCTGTTTGTCTGCGCAAACAAGTCAGTAAGAGCTTGATATAGTGTACTTGAATTGAAACATGAGAACTACCAGATGAGCCTCTTGCAAGTTGTGTCCTATTAATTTATCTAAAATGCCACAGTACACAGACTGTGACTTAATGTCTTATGCAAAAAATAAAAGGGTAATCTTACAATGGTTGAATATGTAGGGTGGGGGGAAGACTGCTCTGTGCTGTTATACTCTGAAATGAAGGTAGTATAGCTGCCTTAGCATGGCAGAGGCAATTAGGATGAATATCAGAATGGCCTCTGCTTAATTTCTGGAGAGTGAAGGTGGGTGAGAGGGAGAGAGGAGGAAGAATATATTGGTATACTCCTGGTGTTGACTGCTCCAGGGTAGGACAGCAAGACAACCTGATGGTTTAATTCTCTATTGTGCTGAAGAGACTGGTGTGACTGCCTGTGATATTAAAATTAGCATCAGGTGCTGATATTGGTCCGTAACAGATCTACTGATTCCAGTACTGAGTTTTTGTCAAGGGTGTTTGTACTTTGTTCTACACAAAGCTAAGCAAACTGAGATGTCCAGCTCTCCTAAGTTTAGGTTTAAACAGAAAGATTCACAGATGTCAACTACTAGTCAGATTTTTTTTTTTTTAAATTAAACTAAAAAAGGGCTCTCAGCATGGCAGAAGAATCTCTCTAAATTTAAATTCATTCAGAACCGATTCAATGACAATGCATTACAGAGTAAGATTAAAACCTGCTGAGTTCTGTCATGGGTAGGAGGTGATTGAGAACTTGGGACTTCTGTCATGCATTCAAGTTTTTCCTACATGTATGCAATAGGATAGGGTACTGACAACATGTGACGGCTTCCTTGAATAGTAAAGATTGTCTTGATCCCACTTCATGAATGTAAAATTACAAAGTCAAGGAAAACCTATTCTGAAAAACTATATATTGAAGCCTTCTGTATAAGCTTATTTAAGCCATAACTTTTTTAAAGACTTACTAGAATGCTCCCAGCCCTGAATAGTCTATAAAATGCCTGTCATTAAGATGCTTTCTTGAGGTGGCAAGTTGCATGCATCTACCTATATGTAGATGCCTGGCTGTTCAGAGGGGAAACCCCAGAATAAGCTTCTGTCACACAACTTGGTGTCATCAAATAAATCGCTCTTGCACTGTAATTGAATGACAAGTCCAGCTACAAATCATCTCATTTCAACAAAATCCACAGAATTTTGTAGGGTTTTCAAATTCCAAGTTTTACTGAAAGTAAAGGCCCCGCAGCTGTGTTCTCTGATGCTTTTGTTCAAAGTAGTTTTGTGTTAATCCACATCTACCTTGGCCATCAGGAGCTGCTTCTTTCTCCTAAGAATTGCACTTAAAGTTCTTGGCTTTATGGCTTGCCCCTTCTTTTGAACTTGCCAAGTAGTTCTGAGATCTCAAAGTCAACAAAGACATAGCTCTGTTGACTACCACTGTCCATGAGGTTAATAAATTTGAACACAGAAACCCTTTATACTTCACAGGACGAAGGCAGTGCTGAGACTCCATCTTAAATTCTTCAGTAGGGTATCATCTCTTTTTACTAAGCTTTCAACATGTCCACTACTCTCAAGCCCAGGAAACCTTTTCAGCATGCTTAGGAAATCTTCCTTACTAGGAAACCTGAGCTACAAGTGGCTATTCTACAGGCCATGTACTTATCCAACATTATATCCTAGAAAGGGAGACTAGGTCAGATCTCTTAAATTGGGAGAGCTGTTCTGCAATTACAGCTTGGTTAACTATGGCAAAGATTCTTCAGACCCTCTTCCCCTCATAACCTGGCTAGTCACTGTTTAATGAGTTCCATGTGGATAAAGATTCTTAAAGACTGAATACATGTTAAAAGAACTAGGGTTCTAAATATTTTTTTTGTCAGTGTGGAAGTTTCAACCTAGCTTCCATCTGCATGCCTTAAGTACCCATCTTTAGTAGGATCCAGAATTAGCTAGAGAACAGAAGTGGTTTGTTCTTGTTCATTCACTTGCACTCCCTTCCCCCTCATACTCATACTCATACTCACACTCACACACTGAGTAAAAGAGGGATGAATATGTGAGGCAAGGGCCTCAATGCAATCTGGTAGTCTGAAGATCCTGATTTTTTGCATGTGCACGAAGTCCACATACCAGGGTCCACGTGGACAAAACATTATGAAAACCCCAGTTACCTGTAAGCCTGGCAGCTGTTGTGTATTTCACTTTCTACTCATCCTTTCTATAAGATTGCAGGAACATATTTTGTTTAGGGTTTTTGTTTTTTTGTTTGTTTGGTTTTTTTTATATAGACATTATGGGCTGGAAGGAACCTTGCAAGATCATCAAGTTCAGCCTCAGAAAATTTCTCCCCTCTTTTAGCCCATCTTACCTGTAGTAAGAAGGAAAACTAACTTTTAGTTTAAAAATCTCTCTAAATAAAGCTTGAAAAGAAGCAAAGCTGTAAGATTAGAAACTTATAGAGTACGCGTTTTGTCTTATACACTACTGGAATATAAAAGTAACAGTATTTCTCTAAATCTCTGAAAATGTTGCTCTGACTTCTTAAATGTTGAATAGGGTAGAACTGTTGAACTTCTAGTAAATGTATAGGAATTAATCATTGTTAGTAATTGTAAGAATGAAACGTTATTTCCTAGATCCACTTAGTCTATTAAAACACACAATTAAATCCTGGAAAATTACAAATGTGGGTCATTAGCTCTGAGGAGTATAACTGCAGGGCATATGTGCATGACAAATCTAGAGGTATTTAAATCTCTTGCTGTTAAAAATAGACTCAGTAAAGATGTCACTAAATGTAAAACAAATCTGTTGGTTGTAAAATGCAACTCCATCACTGTGTAAAGTCTTATAGGCTTGTTGGTTCTTTGGGGCAGCATGACTGCTGGTAGTGGTTAGTAAATGGCTTCTCAAGGTATTGAGTATATTTTTTTTTGGAGAAAAGCCATGTGTTTTCATATGGAAAGTGCATCATCAAGCAGATCATTTCTCTATTTAATTATGGTTTTTTTTTCTTTTGCGTTTAGGGGGATGCTCGAAGTCTTCTGGTTTCTGAAAATCTGAGCCCTGGCCAAAAATTGGACTTTTCGGACACAATGGTACAACAGAAATTGGATGAAATAAAGGATCGGATCAAACGGGAAATAAGGAAGGAACTGAAAATCAAGGAAGGAGCAGAGAATCTCCGGAAGGTTACAACAGATAAAAAAAACTTGGCATATGTGGACAATATGCTGAAAAAATCAAATAAGAAGTTGGAAGAATTGCACCATAAATTACAGGAGTTAAATGCGCACATTGTTGTAACAGATCCAGAAGATGTAACAGGTACAGTACTTTAAAAGATACTGACTTTTTTTTTGTAGCTATAGATGTTTTGCATGCTTTTCTGTCCTCTATGTAAAGAGGTAGAAAAAATTCCTCTTTGGAAACTATTACCTGTAGCTTAAATTATTATTCATATACACTTGCATGCTTTAATTCAGTTTTATGTTTCTTGGTAAGTTCTAAATTGTAGTTTGCAGATGACTGGTATCTACAGAGCAGTAGCTGATGGTCAAGAGCCTGTTGAATAGTCACCTGTTTCTGGTATTTTCCTTCCAGTTGCTACACTGCTTGAGAGAATGCCTAGCTTGTTTAAATTGTCCTATTGTTGGTTTAATGTGTAAGCAAATACAGTGGAAGATGTATGACCAAATCCATAGACAAGCGGTTGTTGAGAACAAGCAAGACTGCTGCTATTACAATTGATGTGATGAAAGTGTTTAAGAACCCCTCTGCCTGAACAGTCTGAAACATTAAAATAATATATTTTAACTGGTGTATTTGATCTCACTCTAATTTTGTCTGGCTTGTGTATTTAAAAAAAAAAAAAAAAAAAAAAGGTTCCGTAGCATAACCATTTGATAAGTTTTAAAGATTTTTCCACACCCAGAGCAACAAGACGAATAGATTTCTTTTCTTCCACCTGCATGTTTTGGCTTACTCCCCTCAGTGATGTGGCTTTTAATTTCCTTCCTTCCTTCCACTGTTGCATAATATGTTCCTGAAGAAATCTGCTCATATTTGTCTCCTCAAAAGAGAATTTATTTTAACTTCAGTTAATATTTTGTTCTTTAACTTGTTTTGTATCAGTTGTTCCTATGGAACCTATACATTATGAAACACCATGTTCTGTTAATAACCTTACTTAAGTCTTAAGTTGTAGAATCTTCTGCAGCTTTTGAGAGAGCTTTTTAAAAAAAAAAAAAAAAAAAAAAGAGGTTGGTAGCTTTTGAAAGAGGTTTTCCTCACTTAAATGAAGTAAAGGAAAAACATCATACTACCCATACATGTCTTGTCTTCTTGAAGGTTTAAGAATCTGATGCAGTGATACGGATGAACATTGGCAAGATGGTACGATGAGCTAATGTTAAAATGCTAACTTGAATTTTAAGCCTAAAAGGTTGGCAAAAGTATCTGTCCATGACACAAACAGATTGGTAACATAGATTTGAGAAACTTGGGGTGATGGGTAAACAACTGATGTGCAAGGGGATGATGTAAGTTGCCCAGTAGTTCTTAATTTTTTTCTGTGTGTATCAAGAGGGCTGTCCCATGCTCTCTTCGAATAAAGCAGGGGTCGGCAGCCTATAGCCTGTAAAGAATATAATTTGGCCTGCAGCAGCTTAGGAGAATCAGCAGCATGCTTTAGTTTTGGCAGTCAAGGAAGCAACCTCAGGATCCTATTGTAACTGTCTCAGGGGAGGGCCCTTAATGTAGTCTACTGCCCCCGATGGTCAGTCCTGGCTTCTGGCCCTTTCTTTGTTCCAAAATGCCTACCCATGTTGCTTGCCACAACTCATTGGTATTGAAATTAGGGAATAGGCCATGAGTTGGCAAAATACCATCTGTGGGCCAGATCTGGTCTGTTCAACTGATTTAGAGCTGGCCCACAGGGGGGGCACCCACCCACACTCCCTCCTGTTCCCACTGGCCCTGTCCAGTATGTACAGTTTCCTGGTAAGGCTGCTCCCAGTGTGGCTGCAGCCACCTAAGTGCTCCTCAGCTCCCCTGTCCTCCAGTGACGGCTCCTCCTCCTGCCCCTGTTGTGCTGCTCTGGGGGGAGGGGGGAAGCTACAGCTGGGCAGCTCCTGCCCTAGCATGTGGGGCTCCAGCTCCTGGCCATCTTCTGCCTACTCTGTCCACCTGGCACAATGAGCAGCCACCTGTGGGTGGAAGATGGCCAGGAACTGGAGCCCTACACTGGGGCAGGAGCTGCCTGGCTGCAGCTGCTTCCCGCAGGAGTAGCATAGCAGGAGCTGTGCAGTATCTCGGTAAAGCTGCCCTGCAAAGCTGTGTACGCTGGCTGGGGCTAACAGGCACAGGAGGGAGCGTGGCACAGGCTGCCCCAGGTAGGAGTGAGGTGGGGTTTAGCCCCAGGTGGAATATTGTGGGGGTAACCATGGATCAGATTGGGGGCTGTAAACCCAGGGGGGACAACTGCCACTGCATTCTGCCCCCTCCTCCCACCCCCCCAGCCAGCTCCCAGGACTTGGCATCCTTGCATCCGCACGCTGCACCCCCTCCCCCCAATATACAAGAGTAAGACTATTTTGAGCTATTATACAATCATTTCTATATGCTACCCAAAAAACACAAGTACGGACAAGAAATATTTTGAAATTTAAATTATGTTTTAGTACAGGCTTGTCCAACATACGGCCCGCGGGCTGCCATGCAGCCCGTCAAGGCATTTTCTGTGGCCTGAGGTGCTGCGATGGAAAACGAAAGTAAACACTGTTTACTTTTGTTCCCACCCCTTGTCCCTCCCCCAGCCCCTCCGC